AATATCTAAAAGCCATTACTACCACATACTGTAATGCTTGACTTTTAGGGGCTGAAGTTTTGAATGCTAAATAGATTTTCTTTTTCTTAGGCTAATATTTAAATTAATATTTAAACTATTTGAGATCCTTTGCCTTTCATCCTTCACCAAGTAGGTGGACATTCAGAAAAAGATGATCTGCAAGGTTATTTGAATACTGTAGGATAAATGTACATTGTGTTAATATTTTCAAAGTGAATGTTATAAATTCTTTTCTAGATGTTTTCTCAGAAACATTTCACCATTACAGACACTATTTGACTATTACTAATTTGAGGGTCATATAAAAAAAATCATACCTGCTACAATTCAGAAAAAAATAAGGACTAGGTTGTGAACAAGGGCTGTGTTCATTTTGCTGCATTTAGAATAATGTAGCAGTGCCTATAACAAGTAAACAGTGGACAGGCTTGGTTCTGCTGGATTTAGATTAACCTTTACAAGCAATGCAGAATTAGATTATGAAAATAAATTGAAAATGGCATCTCCTTAGACTCACTTTGTACTCTGCATTTTCTTAAGCTTTTATGTGACTGTCAAATATTAGTTCAGGGCTCCATTCGTATTTATAACATTTTATCTGTTTTTTTTTTTTTTTTTTTTTTTTCTGAAAAGATAAGCACCAGTCTTCAGAGAAAGCTTTTGACTACCGGATACAAAAAAACAACTCTTTTCTGAATGGTTAATGTTTCAAATATGAGCACAGATACCAGATGGCAAAAAGGGGAAAAAACAATTCAAGTTGTTTCATTGTTCAATGATAAGGATTTTTCCATCTGCTGATTGAATACTAACTTGGTTTACATTCACTTAGAGCCAATACAATTAAAACTCTATTTGAAGGGAAATGTTTCAGGGAAAAAAAAAAAAAAAGAAACCTGAGAAATCCTTCTATGGGCTACACCCATTCCTTAAATAGCTAAGCTTTCATATGTGTACAAATGTGAGTGTATGATAAAACTAAGATATCAGATGCATTTTAAAAATTCTGAAGTCACATGTGTTTAAGAAATTCTAGTGAAGACTACTTTATGTGATTGAAATGTAAGGGACATCTGCTAGAATTTAGAGTCATGGTGAAATAAAATGTATCTAACTTAATAATATACTGGGGTAACCATCACAAAGGATGAAATAGGAAACTACTGGTGAGTGAACAATATGGCAGCAGTTGACAAATAAAGATAAAATGATTGATCCACCGAGGCCATAGAGCATGTGATAAGGAAAAACAGCATAGCAGTGACTAGCAACATCATCTTAAAGGCTAGCAAAGGGAGGACTCAGACACTAAAATAAGTCTAAAGAAGAAAGAAGTTCCCCAAAACAAATAGAATTCATGAGAATAAGCCTCAAGTAAGAGTCATGAACAACAAGAGTTCTAGGATCCTGCTGAACAAGTTGACCCCTACTAAAACACTTCCTCACAATCCTTTCACAGAAGAAGGTCCTACTCAAATAAAGTATATTATTATTATTATTAAGAAGGAGTTTTCCAGGGTTACCTTCCCTTTTGTCCTGAAAACACTGTTAAACTGAGCATCTCTTTGGTACTTAAAACACCTCAAAAATAAGAACAATGACTTACTTCTATATTCCTGATGGCTACCACCAAGCATATAATTAATGTTCTACAAATATTTGATAATATTAATAGAATTGATCCAAGAATTCCACCATCTAAATTAATATTGCTCTGGTTTTTCCCTCAGCTTTACTGAGGTGTAATTAGCAAATAAAAATCCTACGGATATTTAAGATGTACAAGATGTTTTGATAGACATATGACAAGATGATGTTTAGATAGACACATACAAAGTGTGATATACATTATCCCAATCAAGGTAAAGAACATATCCATCACCTCCCATAGTTGCCACTGTGTGTGTGTGTGCGATTGCGCATCTGTGTGTGTGGTAAGAACATTTCATACCTACTCTGTTAGGAAGGTAAAGGGAAAAGACAGGGTAAAGTGATAGAGAGATATATCCATGGATACTTTTTAGGTAGCCAGGGAAGTCAGAGGTTAACTATGAAAGCTGAAATGTGATAGAAGGGAAGGAGCAAGTCACTATCTTTGGAAGAACATCCCAGTTAGAAGGACCAGGAAGTGCAAAGGCTCTGAGGTCAGAGCATGAAGATATTCTTCAGGAGTTTATTGATTAAGAGAAGGTTGTAAGATTTTAAACAAGAATGGGGAAAGTCTACTCATTACCCTTCATTAACAGGAAAAATACATTTTTATGTTTATAATTTAAAAAATCAGAATCTCCATCAAAAATAAAACAAATAGGAATTTTCATATAAATACATATGGAATGAAAATTTAGGTTAATCACATTTACTTATTAACAGAGATTTATCCCATCTTAAAATATATATGCATCAACATCATTTCCAATTAATTAAAATAAGTTTTGGTTTTTTTTTTTTTTTTGAGACAGAGTCTCACTGTGATGCCCAGGCTAGAGTGAGTGCCGTGGCATCAGCCTAGCTCACAGCAACCTCAAACTCCTGGGCTCAAGCGATCCTCCTGCCTCAGCCTCCCGAGTAGCTGGGACTACAGGCATGTGCCACCATGCCCGGCTAGTTTTTTCTATATATATTAGTTGGCCAATTAATTTCTTTCTATTTATAGTAGAGACGAGGTCTCGCTCTTGCTCAGGTTGGTTTTGAACTCCTGACCTTGAGCAATCCGCCCGTCTCGGCCTCCCAGAGAGCTAGGATTACAGGCGTGAGCCACCGCGCCCGGCCTAAAATAAGTTTTTGATACATTCTGAATATTCTTATATCCCAACAACCCAACAATTATAAACTTTATTCATAGATGAGGAAAAACTTAGACTCAAGAGAAAATTCTTAACTTGCTTAAGATCACATGATAGAAAATGATAGAATTCAGCCCTAAATCTGACCCAAAATGAGGGCCTTTTCTCATTGACACACTTCATATTAAAATGGAACTAAAAATAGTTTAGTGTATCTTTGATGTTTCAGGTTACCACACCCAAAATTATTTTATATATTTAAATAAATCAATTAAAATAACTAATCAAAATAATTTTACATATTTAAAAATATACGGGTTATCGAAGGTGGTGGACTAGAAGTAGCTTGCTCATTCCCTTTTCATAGAGAAGATCAAAAATGATGAGTAGATATTCACCTTTGGATTGATCACCTAAGAGAGAGCATTGGGAATCAACAGAGAGGCAATGGGAGGCAACTAAGGGTGTGTGTGTTGTCATATAGCTGAGATTCACAGTGCCGCAGTACACAGAGACAGAGTCACCAAGGCTAATTATCAAAAGGAGTTTTATTGTCTAGCTCGAGCTAGGGTCCGAGCCCTCAGAGTGCCAGCGCAGTGGCCTCTTTTTTGGACAGGGACCCCCCTTTGTGTGCTAGTGAGCCTTTTATACCTAAGCTGTTTACAGCTGATTATGCATCCGCCCCCACAGTGATTCTTACTTCATCCTGCCCCTGATAGGCTCCAACCTGTTCTGGGTCCTAGCTGAGAGACTCTGGTTTCTGCGTTCTTTGTCTTTCTCCTTTGCATCCCATAATATACTCATAATGCCTTGCGGTTAGCAAACAAGCAGTAAACAGAAGCTGGAAGGTGTCCATTGTCCTTATAGCCCAGTATCTTACAGTGTGTGTGTGTGTCTTCTAACAATTGTATTAGCTAGATATTGTTGTCCTCTTTTACCAAGGAGAAAGCTGAGTATCAGAGAAGCACAAACCAGTAATTAATAGAGCCCAAAGTGACCATGCATGTTAGCACCCAAATTAGGACACTTTTGAGAATGTCCCATAATTATTCTGGGACAACTTCTTTAGCCTAACTTGTTCTCTTCCAACCTATCTTACAAAGATATGGTTTGAACCCAGGTCACCCAACCTATCCTCTTTCCGTTACACCTTGTTACTTGAGAAAAGAAGAGAATTTAAAGAGTTCTAAAGAAATCACCCAACAATAAGAAAGAACTTAATAAAACTTCTTTTAAAATATTTTAACTACATTAATTGAAAAGGGAAAAGGATATCAAAACATCGAGGAAAAAAAAAAACAAAAACGTATCTTAAACCAACGCAGGGCAGCCATATCTTATACCAACGCAGGGCATTTCCTTGGTACTAGGCATATCATAATAAAAGTATGATGAGAAATGGTTGAGTATAATCCTTTATACTAAGTCTAACATCACTCAGAATCTTTTTAAAATATCATGTTGTGTTTTTATTTTACCACTTATAAAGAAGATATTAAGAAACTGGGAAAGATCCAGAAAATAGCAACTGAAATGGTTTAAATGCTTGTAACAGGCCGGTCGCGGTGGCTCACACCTGTAATCCTAGCACTCTGGGAGGCCGAGGCGGGCGGATTGCTCAAGGTCAGGAGTTCAAAACCAGCCTGAGCAAGAGCGAGACCCTGTCTCTACTAAAAATAGAAAGAATATTAATTGGCCCCAACAAAAAAAAAAAAAAAAAAAAAAAAAAAAAAAAAAAATAATATAGAAAAATTAGCTGGGCATGGGGTGCGTAACCTGTAGTCCCAGCTACTCGGAGGCTGAGGCAGGAGGATTGCATGAGCCCAGGAGTTTGAGGTTGTTGTGAGCTAGGCTGACGCCACAGCACTCACTCTAGCCTGGGCAACAAAGCAAAACTCTGTCTCAAAAAAAAAAAAAAAAATGTTTGTAACATAGAAGTTATGGGAAAAAAAAAATAAGATAGGATTATTTAGTCTAAAGGGGAAAGTTCAAAAGATAACTTTAAAATTGCCTACAAATGAATTAAAAGCTGCTAAAAGGAGGTCTTCATCTCTAAGAGAATGAAACAAGAGAGATGGTATTTAATTACAAACTGTGAGATTTAGCCTGTGGAATTAAGTCATGCTGTAATTAAATCACAACAGGTTACAAAAGGGCATCCTCCAGACTCATTTACAAAAAAGAAACAGTCACCTGTAATGCCTTGTTTGACAATTGCTTTTCTTGAAGGCAGAGCAATAATAAACAATGATCTCCTTATGTCATGCAAGTCCTGTGAGCCATTGCTCTGATTTTCCTGTTGTTCTGTTTATGCCTGGTATAAATCATCGGTCATTCAACATTCTCCACTCACAGTATGAAGTTCAAACTCCTTATGATGTCATAGAAATGTTTAATCATATCTCTGCCTACTCTGTCAGCATAACAACTTGCCACTCCCTCAACACATCCTGTTTTCTGCCCTCCTGGAGACAAAACCACAAGGAGCACTTCAAAACCACAATAGTCCTAACAGTTCCTTGCCTTTACCCAGGCTATTTCCCCTGAACAGGATATACCTTCCTTCCTCCCAGTCACTCAGTTCATCCTCCCACCTTCCCAAACCCTCAATCCATTCGACACAATTCCCATTCTTGACGATAAAACGCAAATGTCTTTTCTTAGCTGTTTTAACAGGTGAGTCTCTCCTGTCTGTCTCCAGTCCCAATAGACAAATTTAGCTTCTTTCTGGGCTTTCAAAGTACATTTTTCCCACCTTCATTCTGGCACATATCACATTATTTTTAAAACTCTTTGCTTGCCTGGCACCCTGAGTAGTCTGTGAGGTCTCTGCTGGCAGCAGCACGGGAGGAAGAGGATATAGTTTGGCTTTATTCTTTTAGCCTCTCAGCTACCTAGCACATAGTAGGGTCTAAAATTTTCCATTGAGTAAATGAAGCAATTAATTACTTGTTGAGTGCAAAGAAATAGTCAGCATTCAAATTGTTGCTGTGGAAACCATATCTAGGGATTTCTATTGGTCTTTAAACTCAATTGATTTAGACTTGTTTTCCAAGTTTCTTCTGAAAGCATTTTTACTTTCAAACGATAGAATCAATAATGTATGTTCAAACTCTCTGGAGCAAACATGTGTGTCTGATCTACTCTATCAAAACGAGCAAAATACCCAGGACTCCAAAGGTAAAAACAGTGAAGAGCATATCTGTATAAAAGGATGGTTAGAAAGTGTAAATCTTCTCATCAAATCAGTTCCAGAAAGCTTTTGGGAGGTGCACAGGCATCCAGATCCCCCTTCAGCTTTATTTGTATATGAATAAGGACAGCAGAGTTTTCCATGAGGGAAAATAGTGCATAAAAATATTTTATTATTAATATAGACATAAAGCAATATCAGACATCTTAAATACAACTGCTCTCTTGCTGCCATTTGTGAGATGTTTGCTCTTTGATGTAAAGTTAATTTATTTCTCTACATTTGCAACATTGGTTAAACATTTATATTTTGAAGAAAATGAATAAATATGTCAGGTACAAGGATGCATATTTTAAATATAGTGTTCACCTTCATAAGACAATATACTTTCAAAGCATTTCCTTTTAATTTAAACATTTTTACTTCTAATTGGATTCATTTTAGACTAAATTATTCTTAATTGGACACTTCAAAAAGCCAGGTGAAATTACATATTTATGCATTTTAATGCATTTTAGTTCTTTTGATTCAATGTAAATTGTCTTTTTAAAAAACTAAAAGGAACAAAAAAATTAATAGCTTAGCCCAGTGTAAATTGTCTTTCAGTTTTTAAACTAACAAAAAATAATAGCTTAAGGTAACCAAATCTCGTTTTAACAAAAATAAATCTTGTTTTATGCAGCTAAACTGACTTCAATTTTTAGTAAACCAAGAAACTAGAACCCAGTTCCCTAATATTCATCTCTCAAATATTTTCAACCTTTCCCTTTTTGTCTCCATATGCCTTTCAGCATTTAGACTGGTCCAAATCCCTCCCATATATAAAAACTAACACAGAAACATGTCATAGTCCGTCTATATCCCTAGTTTTCTCTGCCTTTTTGTAAGTAACTTTCTTGCTCCCTGCACTTTCTTCCCTCAAGCCTCAGCACTTCAGCTCTTTCTCTGCTGAATCTCTTCCTGTCAAAGTTGCCAACAACCTGCTTGTTACAAAACCTGAAGATAAGTTTCATTATTGTTTTCTTACTTTGGCAATAACTGACCACTTCCTCCTTCCAGAAGTGGAATCTTCATTTAATTGTTACAATATCATTCTCACTTGCTTTTCCTCCTCTCTCCCCCATGTTCTCTGGGATATATGTATCTTGTTACCTCAACTACATAGCAAGCTCTGTGTGGATACTTCTCTCTTATCCTCTCTCTATACCACATACTTCTGTGCTGAGGATACAGCAGGTATGTCGTCATTGTTCTATTATTAAAATACTCAGTTTTACATCATCAAGATCAGCTCTATTTAGCAAGTATCACTCTCTTAAGATTACTTATTAATATCAGCTCCTATGTGATTTTCCAATCATATGAAGATAAAATATGATTAGGAAGAGGCAAGTCAAGGAAAAAAAAAAAAAGAATAGGCAAGCCACAGCAGAAAGACCTTAGGATGACATATAAAATGTACAAAAGCCCTCAAAAAATACTAGGAAGAAACTTTCGTATTTGCTGACAAGGAAACAAGATTTATGAAAACATTAGCCAATATAGTGTGCAGACTCATATATAAGCATCAAGTTGTAGTCACAGCGTCTGGCCTATACTCCTGCCTTTCAACCTATTACATACGACCCTTAGTATGATAATCCTTAAAAGGTAGCATTCTATGAAAGATGCAGTTTGTGTCCTTGCATCCATTCCAGGCTTTAGATTTTGACCTCAGTTTTCAGCTAAGCCTTACACATCTACCCTAGCTACTTGAGTCAGAATTGTATTGTAAAATATTAGATGAGTTTTTCCTGCACTGTTCTTTTTAGTAGTGACACCCATTCAAATGACAAGATCAGAGTCCACACTGCCCAGAGAGGGCAATGTCATAAAAGAATCCAAGAACAAAGATAGAAAAATCTACACTTTTATACCTGCCAGATGCCAGATAGAAAATTCAGGGATAATTATATACAGGTCGTGGAGGTAGTCGTTTTCTGTTTACCCAAACTAGATAAAAATCCCACAAAAAAAATCTCATGAGTTTGAGAGAGTAGAGATGTGAGAGTTGTGCTAAGGGATGGGGAACGCTTGGAAAAAAAGAACAGCAAGAGGACATAGTGCTATCTTGTATAGAAGACTCTGTTCTGTGTTCATAGCCCTAGAATTACTGCAAGATATAAGAGAATTATAGAACCCCCAGGAGGGTTTCAAGATCCATGAATGGAGAGTACCTAAGCCTGGTTTCATGTCTTGTTGTCCTAGAAGTTGGCAAACACTACAGAGTATATTCAAGCAGTCCTGGCCCCTGCGTAAAGCAGAGAAGTTTTTTGAACTGCCCTGGCAGATGGGAAGTTTGGCAGGACACTGGAAGCAGACAAACATTTTCCCAAGTGACCAAGAGTGGAGTGCATGGGGCTCTAAATGTAAGTGGGATGGCAGGCTAACAAAACACCCCAGAAGTAGCATGAGTTTGGATGCTGTGTTAGTTTTCTGAGGCTGCTATAACAACGTATCACAATGTTCATGGCTTAATACAAATTTATTTTTTCATAGTTTGAAGGCTGGAAGTCAAAAATCCAGTTGTCAACAGGGTCATGCTCTCTCAAAGGCTCTGGGGCAGAATCTGTTCCATGCCTTTCTCTTGGCTTCTGGTGTCACCGGCAATCCTTGGCCCACCTTGGCTTACAGGTGCATAACTCTAATCCCTGCCTCTATCGGCACATGGACTTCTCCTTTCATAGCTTCACATTGTCTCCTCATAAGAAGGCACTAGTCATATTCAGTTGTGACCTCATCTTAACTAACTGCTTCTGCAATGACCTTATTTCCAAATAAGGTCACATTATGAGCTATGGGGTGGGAGGGTACCTTCAATATATATTGTCAATATATCATTGATAGAGCTCAATATATCTTTTGGGGGAACACAATTCAATTCATAACAGATGCCCCCTAAGATTCCAGCAAGGAGGTGTGGTCATGTCCAAGGACCAGACAGGATTGTATTATCTATGGATAACCACTTAGAAAAAAAATGGCCCTGAGCCAGATGCCCTTCCCAACTCCCATGCTCAAAAGCCTCTAGAACTTAGACAAATTCTTGCAAAAAGGAAATAATGAGTTAGAGAGGAAAATCCTGAATTAAATAAGCTTAAAACAGATGCTTAAGTTTACTTCAATTGACTAAGATATTTTTTATTTTTGCAATCAGGCAGTATCAGGGCTCTAAAAATGAAGCTAAACAGAGGTATTGAAAAATGTATAAATTGTATTTCTGAAACATCTGAATTTGTGAAAATAAATGTAACAGTTATAAATCTATCTGTTCTGTAACAATCCTTGGAGGAAGAGGGAGCAGGATGTTATAATAATTTTCTTTAACTGAGAACTTTATAAAGACCACAAAGGGATTAATTAAGAGTAGCTAAAGGAATGAAAACTACAAACAATTTACTTAAACAAACTACAAATAACCAGAAAGGTAGTCCTGGCATTATTTTTTTAGTCTCCCTTCATTAAAGAATTTATGACCTCCGATGCCCAGAGTGACTAAGAATTGCCCCTCTGCTCCTTCTCTTGCACTGTTCAGTTTCTGCCTCATCAGCTGTCTCAGCGGCCCCCGCCGTTCACTTTCAACAACAATCTACATCTTCAAGAATCCACTTGGAAATGCTATACTTTTTGTTTTTTTCTTAAAGAGTATTATCACTCTGTATTACCAGTCTGTAGACATAATATTTATCTTCCAGTATGCTCTGAACACTTCCTGCCACAAACTCCTATGCACCCAGTAATGGAATAGCCCCTTGTGCTCAGCACACACTCTGGTCATCCCTTCTAGCTGAGCAGCACGTAGTAGAGGGGTTAGTACATGAGTTTATATTCCAATGGCCTGTTTGAATGCCAGCTCGGCTGCTTACTAGCCATGCGACCTTGAGCATATCATTTAACCTTTCTCTGCCTTTGTCTGCTTACCTATAAAATTGTACCTACCTCATATGGTTGTTATGAGAATTAATTAAATGTGTTAATACTTATAGAGTACTTAGAGTCATAGTAAGTTTAAATAGTAATCACCCATTGTTTATTATTACTAAACATACAAAGAGTTCTTTCAAATC